CCTCCATACAATCATACAAAATTAATTTTTTTGGAACATTAATTTTACCATTATATAGCCCTTTTAAAACCGTACAACTTTCGTCTGAAACATTTTTCCGTATCTCCCATATTTTTCGAGATATTTTACCGGTCCGGTACTTTTCCCTCACCCTGTATATTGAACATATTGCACGTTACACAAGTAGATAATTATCATGTCATTTTGATGACATTTTGATATTATTGTGATTTTGTGTTCTGCTTGGGTAATACCATTAAAACTATACCAATATAGGCATATACATATGTACCTCGAAAACATACAACTTTTGTCTGAAACATTTTTGTTTGTTGAGCTTAGTTTTTGAGATATTTTACTGTCCAAGTTAACATAGGACACCCTGTACCTATAATAGAATTGTAAGGTTCGACATAGGGCCTAAATTTCGACTCGGAGGATCTTTCGGAGTTTGCGCTCGACGGTTTATCTCCTCGATGTCTCGTGGTCAGTCGCCGGGACGTCGATGGAAATTGTTTGGAAATAATAGTAACCCATGTTGTTTTTTAACTCTACTTGTTGGGATTATTACAACGGCCACAAGAGATCACGCGCGACTCGCGTGGCAGCAGCGCGCTCACCCGAAAACGGTAGCGAACGATCGGGGAGAATTCCTCGAGAGTGATACATATAAGCATGTAAGAATCACGAAAGAGACAGATTAGTATTGTCGCCGAAAGTGTCAAGACATTTTGTACATGACCAGCCGCGAATGTGCGGTAGATCGCGGACCAGACGCAGTGCGTGCTCAGTTATTATAAATAAATCAGCAAATGAAAGTATTACGCGCGTTCTTAACATCATTATCCGACCTAACCCGTCGACGATTACACGCGTGAGATTTCTGCATACACATATTTTATGGTCCTTCGAGCCGGATGAGCGCGCTATTCGGGCGATTAGTCACCGCGATCAGTGAGCCGTAGCTAAGTATACATGCTGGTCGAGCAATCAAGGCGACAATTACCGCGAAATTCACATATCTGTAATAAGTGATCGAGCGTGGTACGAAACAGTTTTCAGTGAAGTTCAGAGCCGCGACCGTTCGCCGTGTTGTGATCAGTTGACCTAGCGAACCATCAGCTTTCCGCGTGATATTGACACACTTAACGACCGTTAAGAAGTGAAGTGAAGAACGACAGTAAATTCAAGAATCGAAATGAATGCCGATAGCTTGCGAAAGGAGAGGAGGTATCTAAAGGCGAAATTAACCATCATAGAGAACTTCATTAGTAAGGTCAAGAGTGATGCTGACGCGGTACCGGAGGAGGTCACGGCGCGACTCCAAGCAACAGAAGAAACATGCATTAAATTTCAAAATATTTCACAGAAACTTTTATCATTAAACGACGAGCCCAACGCAAGGGATGAAACGGAGGACTCTGAGTTCGACGAAAGATATTACAGTGTAAAGGCTGAGTTATTACGATTATTAGAAAGGCTTAAACCATCCTCGGCAGGACCGTCGAGAGACGAAGCAAGCAGTCTGCCGAGCGACTCAGCGATAAGGTTAATTTTGGAACAGCAAGCAAATTTAATGCAAAAACTGGCTGAGCGTAACGATAACGATGTACTTACTCGGACAATGGAACAACAGACTCAGCTACTAGAAAGATTGAGCGCGCGATCAACCACATCCGTACGAGAAGCTCAGGTGAAACTACCGATGATTAAATTGCCAACTTTCAATGGAAGCGTGGAGGAATGGAAAAGATATTCTGACACATTCAAGACGTTGATTCACGAAAGCGAGCTGTCCGGTGTACAAAAGCATCAATATCTGGTCGGATCTCTAACCGACTCAGCAGCCAAAATCATCGAATCCATCGAGATCTCCGAGGACAATTATATCATTGCCTGGGAATTATTAAAGAAGCGATACGAAGACGAAAAGGGCATTAAGAGGCGACACATACAATGCTTATTGGACGAGCTACCAAAAATCAATCAGGAGTCCGCAGACGCAATTCAAGAATTAGTGGACCATGTGCAAAAACATTTGCGAGTACTTCAAGCAATGAAGCTTCCCACAGCAACATGGGGAGAATTGATCATCTACATAATCGAGAAAAACCTGGACAACAAAACGAGGAGACGCTGGGAGGAGTACATCGAGGACAAGGAAGTCGTGACGACGGACACGATGATGGAATTTCTACAGCGTCATAGTCAGCTGTTGCGGCGATCGGCCGTGGATGGCGAGATCGGCAAATCAAGGAGCAGTGCTGTCGAGAGGGACAGGTCAGCCGGACAGCGGGTGTCAGGCGCAAGACTGAACAGCAAGGTGGCACCATAGACATATAAAAGATAGACTGCTTATGAGGCAGTGGAACCCTAGGTGGGGGCATCCTCCTGAGGGAAAAGGACAACATGAATTTATTTGGGTATCTGTCTTCCTCTAGTGGACGTGAAGGCGATCACGTGTTCACGCCCACCATTCACGTGATCACGTACACTAGAAGAAGATAGATACCCAAATAAATTGGTGTTGTCCTTTTCCCTCAGGAGGACATCCCCCACTACCTCATGAGCAGTCTATCTTTTATATGTCTATGGGTGGCACTAGCGACGACCACCCTGGAAAAAAGATGTTGTCTTTGTCAAGGACAACATCTCATTTACGGTTGTAAAAAATTTCTGAGCTTGTCGGTCCAGGATCGAATAAGGGAAATTAAGCGGTTGAAACTTTGTTTCAATTGTTTGCGACCAGATCATTTTTCTAGAAATTGCAGGTCCGGTTCCTGTAGGGAATGCGGCGAGCGGCACAATACACTATGTCATGAAGGGAGACAGGCTCCCGAGTCCTCAACAAAGTTGGCGAAGAAACTGTCGGGGGTTCCGGAGGGGCCACCCGTAGGCACGGCGCTGTGCTCAGTGACGGACGGCGAGAGGGAGTCATCGACGGATGGCATCGGATCGTCTGGGCGCGGGCGCAATCAACGTATCAACGAGCGACGTAAGCGAATTTTGATGGCGACAGCCATCGTGAATGTGGCAACGGCGAGCGGCGACTCTAAGCTGCGAGTGCTACTAGACAGCGCGAGCGAGCTCAATTTTGTAACGGCTGCAGCATGCAGGAAGCTAAATTTAAATTTAAAGGCTATTCGAGAGAAAATTAGCGGGCTGAACGGAATGAGCTGCGCGGTAAATCATGGTTGTGAACTTTCGATAAAGTCGCGAGTATCTAATTTCAATTTGAGTTTGAACTGTTTGGTTGTTTCTGAAATAACTAAGTTTCTGAAATAACTTTACCATCGTTTTTCATACAGGCAACAAAGTTATCAATTCCCGAGGGTCTTGAATTGGCGGACCCATTGTTTTTCAATCCGAGTCAGATCGATGCGCTTGTGGGCGGCGAATTCTTTCTGCAGCTGTTAGATCACGGCAAGGTTGAGCTCGGCGACGGTATGCCGATTTTACAGAATACCCGGTTGGGATGGATTAGCGCGGGTTCGATACCGTCACAGTTAATTAGCAGTCGGGCGACCGACGATTCGTATTCAAGTAATTGCACGTGTAGGCATCGATTGGCGATGCCATGAATAGATTTTGGGAATTGGAGGAATACCAAATCGATAATACGCGATTGTCGGTAGAAGAGGAATGTTGCGAGAGGCATTTCATAACCACAACAAGTATATAGAGACGCGTCGTCCGGGCGGTTTGTCGTTCGGCTGCCATTTCGCGAAAACAAAACAATGTTGGGTCGATTGAGAGAGATCGCGCTGAAGCGTTTCATGTATTTAGAACGTAAATTTCAAGGAGATCAAATTTTTCGCGATCAATATGCCGAGTTTATGCGCGAGTACATTGAGTTGAATCACATGTCTCTAGTCAAGGAAGACGACGCATTAAATGCGGTATATTTGCCACATCATGGCGTAGTTCGCGAATCAAGTACGACAACAAAATTGCGAGTAGTGTTTGATGCTTCCGCAAAAACTACATCCGGTATTTCCTTGAACGACACATTAATGGTGGGAGCGAACTTGCAGGACAATATAATTGATATTGTCATGCGATTTCGTTTGCCGGCTATCGCGATTACTGCCGATTTGAAGAAGATGTATCGTCAAATTTTATTGCATTCGAGTGATCGCGATTATCAAAGAATTTTATGGCGATTCTCTTCGAGCGACCCAATAAGCGAATACAGACTTAACACGGTCACTTACGGCGAGGCATGCGCCCCGTTTCTGGCCGTCCGTTGCGTGCGACAGTTAGCGGAGAGCGAGGCGGACCAGTTTAGTGAGGCATCGAAAGTGTTGTTAAGCGATCTGTATGTTGACGACATTATAACCAGGGTCGAAAACGAAAATCAGGCAATAGAATTGATATCTCAATTAGAAGCGTTGTTAAACAAGGGAGGATTCGAGCCTCACAAATGGCGCACAAATGCGAAGGGATTATTGCGAGATAGCGATTGCGGGGAGAAGCCGTCTGTGCTGCCGATCGAGTCGAGCACCGTTAAAACTTTAGGATTGAATTGGTGTCCGAGGACAGACATGTTTCGGTTTTCAGTTGAATCGATGGCCGATTCCGTCTCAACCAAACGCGAGGTTTTGTCGACGGTTTCGAGATTATTTGACCCACTCGGACTGATCGGTCCCATTATAATTCGAGCAAAATTAATAATTCAGGAGGCATGGATGTCAAGGTTAGATTGGGATGAGCCGTTGACGGACGGTCTTCTCAAGGCGTGGAATGCATATGCTGAGGACTTGCGTGGGATAGGCGCGATTCGAGTTCCGCGCAGAATCATTCGGGGCTTCGATACAACGCGCTTTTGTCTGCACGCCCTTTGTGACGCATCTTTGAGGGCCTATGGAGCTTGCATTTATCTGCAAGTTATCGACGAAGCCGGCAGGGCCAGTTCTCTTTTATTATGCTCCAAATCGCGAGTTGCGCCGGTCAAGAGCAGCACGATCACACTGCCGAGACTCGAGCTGTGCGGCGCCGTTGTTCTCGTTAGATTACTCCAAAATGTAAGGCGGGCTCTCGGGATCCGATTCGACCGGGTGCATGCATGGAGCGACTCCACGATAGCGCTAGCATGGATCGCCGGTGAGCCATCGCGTCAAAAGACATTCATTTCAAATCGAACAGCCGAGATACAATCAATTCTTCCATCGAGGCATTGGCATCACGTCGACGGGAGTGAAAACCCGGCGGACTTAATTTCGAGAGGTACTAGCTTAACGAATCTGAAACAAAATAAAAATTGGTGGGAGGGTCCGCCTTGGTTGTCGCGTCCTGCGGACTGTGAACGGCGAAAATCACAATCACCACCTCTTACCGAGGAAGACAACTCGTCAAAAGCGAACAAAGAGCGGACAACCGAGTTTTCGCGAGCGTCATCGAGGATGATTGCGTCGTCGATTATTTACTAAAAAATCAATCTTCACTATCAAAAATCGAACGAATTATAGCGTGGATCTTTCGATTCAAGATTAACACAAGGTTAGAACATGATAAACGCAACGTTGAACATATTTCAACTGTCGAGATTCGCCACGCGCAACAAGTATTAATTTTGTCAATACAAAGAAGTCATTTCGCGGATGTGACGTCTAAATTATTGGAGAACAAACGAATTCCAACAAATAATAAATTACTATCGCTCAATCCCTTTATAGATGATAAGGGAATTCTCAGGGTGGGCGGTAGAATTTAAAAGTCGCAGCTGGGATTCGAGAGGAAACATCCTATCATATTGCCGTCAAACAGTAGATTCACGCAGTTATTATTTGAAAGAGAACACCGAAGATTGCTGCATGCAGGTTCACAAACTTTGCTATATTCAGTGCGAGAAAACTATTGGCCGATCAGAGGAAAAAACATCGCAAGGAGAGTTGTACATAATTGCATAACATGTTCCCGCAACAAACCAAAATTGTTATCGCAAATTATGGGACAATTGCCCGCCGATCGAATAACACCGAAGCGACCATTTTTCGTGATCGGGGTTGATTTTGCTGGACCTGTCACAACGCTGGTGAATCGAGGTCGTGGAAGGAAAACTAACAAGTCGTACATATCACTCTTCATATGCTTTACTACCAAGGCGATCCACATTGAAGCAGTCAGCGATCTCAGCTCGGCATCCTTCATAGCTGCGCTGAGGCGATTTGCCGGACGTCGGGGTCATCCACAGTGTATTTATTGCGACAACGCGACCAATTTTGTCGGAGCGAAGAACGAGCTCACCGAAATGTGCGAATTAATTAAACGGGAAAACCGAGAAATAATGGACGAGTTTTGTATCCCAAATAATGTAGAATGGAAATTCATTCCCCCGTCAGCTCCTCACATGGGGGGATTGTGGGAGGCCGGCGTAAAGTCATGTAAGTTTCATTTGAAACGAATCATCGGAGGTAGTCTGTTGACATTCGAGGAGTTAAGTACTGTGTTAATTCAGATTGAGGCTTGTTTAAATTCGCGCCCCATTTGTCAAGTCCCATCAGCGGCCGCGGACTTGCAACCGCTAACACCCGGACACTTTCTGATAGGCGGTCCCTTGGTTGCTCTTCCGGAAATCGATGTAACTGAAGTACCTATAAATCGACTCGATCGCTGGCAGACGGTTCAGAGACTTGCGCAAGATTTTTGGAAAAGATGGAGCAGGGAATATTTAACTTCTCTACAAGGTAGATCGAAATGGACTCGTGAACAAACTAATTTATCAACCGACGATGTTGTTATGATACAAGATAGTAACGCGCCACCTTTGAAGTGGAAGTTAGGAAAAATTATTGAAACTCACAAAGGAAGCGACGGTAGGGTACGCGTTGTAACTCTCAAAACTGCGAATGGAATATGTAAGAGATCGATCACCAAATTATGTAAACTCCCGCTAACCGATGTACCGTTATCCATGTCAAACGAAAGTAAAATTAATCGTCATTAATGGTGGGCGGGATGTTGGAATTATTACAACGGCCACGAAAGATCACGCGCGACTCGCGTGGCAGCAGCGCGCGCACCCGAAAACGGTAGCGAACGATCAGGGAGAATTCCTCGAGAGTGATACATATAAGCATGTAAGAATCACGAAAGAGACAGATTAGGGT